GTGACTGTGTGTGTGTGTGTGTGTGTGTGTGTGTGCACTCATGTTTCTGCCCTGTGTAAGCTAGCTCATTTTGCAAGCAATTATATTCCCCTAAGCAGCTCAATGAGCAAGTAAATGGAGTGAACAGCAGTTGAATGTATCTTGTGACAAATAATCAGTGTGTGTGTGTGTGTGTGTGTGTGTGTGTGTGTGTGTGTGTGTGTGTGTGTGTGTGTGTAAACTTGTCTTTATATGCTTAAGTAGACTAATTTTAACTTTTAACGTAGTGTGTGGACATTTCCACATTATGCAAGAGGCCTGACTTCACCAAACTCAGTACATTTGATGACTGCTTAAAGTCACAACAAATGAGCTGGTTTATGTCTATCAGAAGCAAAAACAGTTGCTTTTAGAGTTGTTAAAGAAGTCTGGTGACAAAACGTAACAAAACATCAAAGCATTTATACAATGCACCTTTGACTTTCATCTATAGAGGTGGATGTTGTTGAAATTGCTCAATAAACAGGTACAATTTGAAATATTAGAATATGGTGCAAAAGCCTGATGATGTCAGTAATTCAGCTTAGACCGAGAGACCATCTAAAGGCTCGGGAACTATTTGAATTTTTTTAAATTCATTTACTCATTAGAGGGTGGCACTTAGCGCCTAGAATGTTGAACCTTTTCACAATATTTTGAGATTTAGAATTTGAGTTTTCTTAAGCTGTAAGCCATAATCATCATAATTATAACAAGTAAAGGCTAGGAATGTCTGGCTTTGTATTTAATGAGACTATCTCATGAAAAAAGGTTCACTCACCCCCTGGAAAGAGCCTTACTCCACCCACACTTCCTGTTTGAAAAATGTGCCTAAAGGATTTTCTGACTGGCAGAGCAAAAGCGTGGCACTGAGGCAATGACTGACAGCATCCCCTTCACCGCCCTATTAATCCACCAATCAATAAGAAACAAAAATGATTAAACATAATCATTTCCCATGGGAGAGACAATTTCTTAATTTAAAGATTCTAATTTTAATACATTTGCAGTGGTCTCTAGTATGAATGAATGCTTTGTAGGTCGTATTGGGAGGATGACATCTGAAACAACGTTCAAAGAACGGTTCGAAGCGAAAATGGCTATTTTGTTGCTAATTTGCAGGAAATATCTAGAAGAAAGTTATACAGAAAGTAGCTAAGGGTCCTCAGAAATGTAGCTAGCTTTGTCACTAGGCGTTAGGAACTGCGACAAAGTGGCACTACCTCTCTCTCTGCTGCTAAAGCTACGGATAGCAAATGCTACGGGCGATGCCTGAGCGTGAACGCGCATGAAGCAACCTGCTCGACCCGAGCATCTCTCTTTTTCTGTGGTTTTACAGAAAAACAGGCAATCACAGTAAAAATGCCAGGGCTCATTCTACAGGACCAGGGCATTGCAGGAGAATGTATGAAGAAGACATTTATTATTTCTATACATGTTTTGGCTGTCAAACTTCCATAATGTCCCTTTAAGCTGAATAAAGCAAAAATAATTGCATACATCATCGTGAGAGAAAACAAAAAGAGAAGCCAGCCCCCTCACTCTCTCTCCCTTTCTCTCTCAGAAATGATAAATCAATTGCAATAATGAGCTTGTTCACTTTATACTTATTTTCGTGCAGAATAAGCTTCAATCTTTAAAAACTTTAGATGCACATGTTGCACCATTTACCTCGTTTCCTCGTTCAACTGGTGTTGACTGAATCTACGTTCATTTAACCAGATTTTCTCCAACTTTGTGGATCCTACTTTTTTCTCACATTGTTTTTAAATGCACAAACTTTACCAATGCTACAGCTCTTCAAATAGAATAGAATAGACTTTATCGATCCCACATTGACCGATGACCACGCAATGTTGCAGAGACGTGTCAACCATGACAGCCCTACAACATCCATAGCCTTGAGATACCCAGGACGAACCTCATCCGCCCCCGGGGCTCCGCCGCTGTGTAGTTGTTTGACTACCTCAGCAACTTCTGCCCCTGAGATTGGACAGTCCATCCCCAGGTCTCCCAGCTCTGGTTCCTCCTCGGAATGCGCGTAGGTGAGATTGAGGAGCTCCTCAAAGTATTCCTTCCACCGTCCGACTATAGCCCCAGTTGACATCAGCAGCTCCCCATCCCCACTGTAAACAGTGTGAGCGAGTTGCTGCCTTCCTCTCCTGAGGCGCCGGACAGTTTGCCAGAACCTCTTTGGAGCCGATCGATAGTCTTTCTCCATGGCCTCACCAAACTCCTCCACGCTTGAGATTTAGCCTCGGCAACTGCCACTGCTGCACCCCGCTTGGCTATCCGGTACCTGTCTGCTGTCTCCGGACACCCACAGACCAGTGTTATTAGACCAATGTGAAAATGAACCAAATGTACAGAAGAGTCATCTGCAAACTTAACATGAAGACACACTTGGAGAAGCAATCATAACCACCTGACAGATTTTAATGCAAATCCACCATAAAATATTACATCTGTTACACTTCCAGGACAGAAGGAAGAGTTTTATGCTCATACAAGCCATCATCCTTTAGTCCTCCTATTCTTATCAATTCATCCACTCCATCTCATCATCCTCTTAACAGAGACTTTCCATTCCCCAACATTTTAGCTCTCCAAAACACATTTCTCGCTCCGTCAGATCATCACCACCCAAATCTTTCCAGTGCCGTTCTCCCCCACCATTGTCCTTCTCTGTCTCCTAAACTACGCCTCCTTCTTTCCCCAGCTATCTTCCCTTTTGCTCACTTCATTTCCACATTAAGATTCTTTTTGTCTCTCTGCGTTATCCTCCCTTGCCCCCTCTCTCCGTTACTCTCCTCTTCCAGCCGTCTCTGTTTTCCTTCAGGATTCACACTGAAATTGAGGGAAAACATCCAAGCGTGAAATAGTCCAGAGAGGCTTCTTGACGCTGACTTGTTATTTCATTTTCAGGATGAAACAAGGGCATTAATACTTAAAAAGCATGTCTGCTCAGATGGAAGACACTAAAGAGAGTCATGCCTCCATCCCTTCCTGAGCTGCTCTTTCTTTAATGCTTGTGTATTTGCTTCCTTACTCGGGTATAATTCACTCTCTCAATTACACAAAATGCATTCAGTTTTATTCCCACAGTGAGAGTGTTTATGTTCAAATGTCCATGCCAGTCACTTTGTCTAAGTCTCATTTTTCCTCAAAATCACCAGGAATTGTTATGCCTTCAGATGACTCCTGTTTTATTTCGGGAATGATTGGTCTCAAGACTTATTCTTTTGAGGTCTTTGACCAAACGAATGTTGCAATGTAGGGCGGCAAATTACGCCAGTGAAATAAAACAAAAAGAAACGGGCAGCAGCAACAAAACGAATGGAGGGCCAACGAAAACCACAATAGAGATGCCAAGGACACGACAGAAAGAGAGGCGAGGAGAATGACGGAGAATAAAAATGACAGAAACAAATTAAACGAGCGATAGCGACGCGATTTGCAGAAATAATGTTGTTTATGCTGAAGCCAAGCACAATTAACTGTGGCACTGCCGGGCACAGCGGATACTTAGACATGCTTATTAGTCCAATGAGAGATGAGCATTTCCTGGTGCCACCAGGAGTGAAGCAGGAAAACATATGATCACAAGAACGGATAAGCAGAGGACAAAGAGCTGGGGGAAATAACGTGTGCTCAGTAAAGAACAACAATACGAGAACAGAGCTTTTCCAGCTGCTTTGATACCTAAACCTGAGAGCTCCGTGTCTCCTTATTATCGTCTGTACCTTCATCACAACAAGAAAAAAAAATACTGCTCAGACCGCGACTCAAGGGAGAGAGGAAATTACTATCTTCTGATGTGGATTGAGACCGGGTAAATACATGTTAAGGAGGTTAGTGTGTGTCTGTGTGTGTTCATGCATGTGTGTGTTGCAGCTCGTATATAACAGCTGCCTGTTGGATGGATTTTCATTCTGAGCAACAATCAAGCATAAGGATGGACTCTGCGGTGTGTTCAAATGACACGTGGTCATTGCTACAACTAGACACTAGGACTAATGTGGATGGGTGTGCAAGAGTGCATGTGTGTTAGTGTGCGCTTGTGCAGGAGTGGATAACTACTTCCTGTAAATGTGTGTATAAGCATTAATAGAAGGGGTCTGGATCACTAGATCGATAGAGAAATTACAATGAAGCGGATTTCGATTCGATGTTGCCAATATCTCGAATTCAGCAACAATACAATTTTGGTTCGATTCAATTTAGGATTCACCAGTCGATAAAAAACGATATTTTAAGTGACTGTACACAGTCGTTTCCCAGGGGAGAGATGTTATCTTCATTTCTTCACGGACTGTTTTCTCATGTCTGGTGATGTGCAGAAACAGGTGGAAAACGACATGTCAAAGGAGCTTTGAAGCAGTTTTCAAAATTAAATAGTATTTAATACTTATTCTATTGATGTTTGCATTTTTGGATCAATGACCATATAATTAATGTGTTATTACACATCTAATTAAAAACATTATCTATAAACTAAAGCCATAGTATGCAACATTTCCATTTTTTTTACATCATTTTCTTGAGCCAGTATGTGCTAAAATGACCTTTTACAATGTTAATGAAATGTCACTCAGACCCCACCGCCTTCTGTGGCCAGAGTACTGCACTTGCAACTTCAGAGTGGCAGGGCCCCTCCTTGATGGACTTAATAAAGTGGAGCTGACTTGCCAGCAATGCAGTCTGCTGCCAGCATGTTTCCTGCATGTTTGGGACAACGAACACAGCTGATTGATTTAGTGATGAATCACTCCTGTAGACACTAATGAAGGCTGACGAACGCACAGCAAGAAGATAAGTTTCACTTTTGGTTTCGTTAGCAGACCAGAGGAGATGCTAAAAGCAAGCCAAAACTAGTATATCTCTAAAAAGTGGGAAAATACAGATAATGGGTCAAATGTTCAGGATTTCATTTTTTATTTAAAATTAAATGAACTCCAAGGCAAAGTACGTTGAGTACTTACTGGATGGAGTTCTCAATGCGTGAGATGGTGAGAAACGCCGCTAGATTAGCAGTGTATGAAGAGATTACGATGAGAGCGAACATCCACCAAACGCCCATCATCATCCGAGTGGCAAGGGTGGTGTAGGGAACTTCTCCACCTAGGAAGGAGAGGGGGGAGGAAGATAAGGTGGTGGGTAAAAAGGAGAGGGGAGGTAACGGGATAGAAAAGAAAAGAGAAAAGAGGAAGGTGGGAGGGAAATGAGAAGAGACAAAATTAGAAAGAAGCAAAAAAAAAGAAGGAAAAGAGAATGGAAAGAAGGAATGAAAGACAAAAGAAAAGATAGAAGCAAAGAAAAAAGAAAGGAAACATAAAAAAGCAAGGGAGGGAAGAAAAAAGACAGAGAAAAATAGTTTAGTCAAATAACGTGAATTACAACAACACACAAGCAGATTTTGGTTTTGAAACAGTGAAAAGCATCTTGAAGGATTATGTGCGGATTAACCAAGTATGATCTGATCCTTCAGTTAAAACTGGATCTTCACACTCTACGGTAGCTAGTTTAATAAGTCATTTCTGACAAATCCTCACTACTCACATAAAAATACACTTAAATCAATGCTAGACCCAAAAGCAGCAAATATAGAAAGACAACAAAATGAGTCCAAACATCAAAGCAAGCCTCTGACCAGAACATCATCAAGAGTCGTGACAGTTTGGGAACACTGCATAAAAATGACTTCCTTCTTTCCCTGTTTCTTATTTTGCCAATCTTGCCTCGAAAAATTACACAGATCGCTGTTTTTAACTCCCGTTAGATTACAAAGTGTTATTTCCATCATGCAGTCGGAATAATTTCAAGCCTCAGAAGTTTTGTTTTGTAAAATAAAACAAATCAAACAATCAAACAAACAAACAAATAACCAGCTGTGTGTGCAAATTTATTTAATTCACCTCTGGGCCCCGAAACAAAGAATTCATTTATTTGTGAAATAAAGTTTTCATACGATTTCTCTATTATAGGAACCCGTCCTTTTCAGACATATTGTGTTTAAGCTTAATGGCAGTCGAGGCTTTGTATGCGATTAACTGTTTATTTCAAATAAACACAATCACACAGAACAAGCTGTTCCCTTATTGTTCATGTTAAATACAAAATACCTTCATTCAACCCTAAAGAAGGGAATTAACGTAAATGTCAAGGACAACCTCATCTTTTACTCAAACTCAACGTGACACCCACGTAATCCCATTTATTTGATGTTTTCCTCATTCACTCATACTTCCTAGTATGGATTTTTTTTTAAATATTTGTTTACTTTTAAAACCTTCGTCACTGTCTCTCTACCGATTTTCTCCATTTTCTTTTCATCTAGTACCATCTCATCGACATTAGGTTTTGCATCTAGCCCAAAGGCATAATGTCTAGTACTCTACACCAGTGGTTCCCACTCAGTTTAAACTTGAGAAAGCGCATCTGCCGAATACTTCAGCAATGTGTACCGAGGTCAACTCTGGACCGGATCGTCGCACACCTTTGTCTCCTCTGCCAGCCAAGGTGTGACCTGGATAAACATCCTCCGAGGTCCGGATCTAACGGGGGTCCTGAGTACGGTGAGGCAGAACACAATAGATAGCGTTCTGATGCAGTTTTTCTAATAAGAACTAAAGTTTAATTCAAAACATAATTTTTCACTCAGATTCACCTTTTCTCTCCCTGAAGCAATCTCAGACACCTGCATGCACGCATTCATAATTCCATCATCCTCAATCTTAGCACATCCAACACAAGGTCTATTTGTGCAAGCTTAAAATATCAACTGTTAAAGATTGTCCAACAAGGTTGTCAATGTTGATTGTTTTCCTATGATTGTCATTTCAAATCGTTAGTTTAAATTGAAGAAATAAATATCTTATAATTTAAACTTGTCTTTTCATTGAACTGAAACACAGACAAACGGATATGATCGTCAGTTTATCGATGAAAACAACCTTTGAGTCTTCTTATCTCTATAAATCTGGTTATTAATTTTGTTAAAATTAATATTCCAGATTATTATGTAGAATGTAGAATGGTTCATCTTTCAAAAAAGAGCCAACCCCCCCCCCCCCCCCCCAATTTTGTCTGCGCTGAGCTTGTGAGATTATCAAGATAATTTGTAAACATTACATTAATAAAATCCCACCAACACGCCCAATAGTACAATCACACACTGTATAATAGTTCTAATTGGGTATGTCTGCATAATTAATCACTTCTAATGTGTGGATCTTGGGACACAGGAAAGGGGGTCCTCACGGATGTGTCCATGATTAGTTGATCTCTGTCACACATCTGCTTTTTGACCTCCTTTGAAATTTGTCAAACACATTTTTTTAAGTCTAAACAGATGAACTTATAAAGAAAGCTGAACAAAGAACCAGTAAGAATGATCCAACACCGTTGTTTCTAGATAAAGCTGCATGAATGACCTTTATCTTTGAGCTCCAGACTCACGAAGTGACCAGATTAACACTCATTTTCAAGCCTTCTACAGTGTTTTTTTTTACTGTCCTTATTGCTTTTGCCAAAATATAAAATTTGAAACATAGCTACAAGTGGCTGAAAACGTTGGTTTTCCTTCACCAGCGGTTTCAGGAAAGGCAGAAGTTGGGATTGAACCTGCAACCTTCCAATTACTGCACAACCACCTGAGGTAGGAAGGCTACGTTCTTTGTATTAAAGGCACCAGTCTGTTGTTATTGAGCAGAGTCCAAAGGCAAAGCTCTGGATTTGAATTGCAACAGAAGATGCAGGTGGTTGAAATGAAATTCCTTGATGGAGTGGTTTGGCTCCACCTTGGAGATCAGCTGAGGAGCCCGATCATCCAGCAGGGGCGTTTTTGTTCCTCCACATCATAAAGAGTCAGCTTTCCACGCTCACAGTTGGTTAGTTCGGGTCAGTCGACGAGAGGAGGAGTACAAATCATGGCCAAAATAGTTTTGCAATAAATTAGCTTTAAAGAAATAAACCCTCTTTAATTCATCAAGACGTGACTGAAGAAAATCTCGACCTACTCTTCAGAAATTCTGCAAAACCATTTTTTCAAAGACTTTTGAAATATTACAATAAATAAGAGGGCGACTAAAAAAACTTGTTTCAGTAAAACAAGTGTTTATCAAAACTACTTTTTATACCAAAGAAAAGCATTTAGATGGATGCTGGTGTTACAAAAGCATACAGCAACCATCAGTCCACTCAACTTAATGAGTGATGTTCTCCACCGAGGGCATTAAAACGCAGTTTAGTCTGCAAGAGTAACTCAGTAAGTTATTGGTGGATTTGCATGGAATTTGCACAAGATTAATGATGTGACATAACATAAAAATGACTGTAAACAACATTGCTTTTATTCAAATAACCTGCCATCACATTCCAAATCACAATAATATCTAAATATCTGCTCATGTTCAGGGAGAGTTGATTGGTTTAATGACTATGGACGCAAACAGCCAACATCTCAGTTTCTTTCTACAAAAAATACCCACCTGCAACGCTCCTCTTTGCAGTAAGAATTAGAAACAACGGTGCTTCTCTTCTTAGCCCCTTACAGATATCGCCCAATTTTCTTTGGGTTTAAGTCCTTAGAAAACTTCTCCCAACAGCGGGAGAGACTATGAGTGTCTCTTTGCCTGTTTGTATGTTTATGGGTTCTTATATCATGAAGCTGCTTTTGAGAACACCGCCTCGCAGCATCAAAAAGCCCCCCCCCCCCCCCCCCCCCCCCCCCACCCACACACACACACACAGAGTCTCCTCAATATAGCTCTCTATTGTTTCTATTCCACAGTTTCTCAGTTTCTCTCCTCCTTCTGTGATTCGTCATCCTTGAGACAAGAAATCCATTCTGCAACTTTCATTCATGAAGCATTCTGAGGACGGTGCCTTTCTAAGCTTGGTTGATCTAAACGATTCCATGTGGTGTTATTCAGCCTTAGCAAATCCTTTGGATGTGTACTTCAGTGTATTGTATGTTCGGACCCGGGTCATATTGTGGTGTTGCTGTCAGAGAGTGGCGCTGTCACATTATAAAGTTGCTTGTCTGCATTTGTGTTGCCAGTGCCGCTGATTGAGCTACACTCCAACCTAAAGTCGTCCTGCCTCCTCTTTTAAGTCCTAAACCCAACTCTTGACCTGATTGCAATTTAAATTCAACTTTGCTTGTTGTGTTCTTTTAACGTGCTTGTAACGCTCAAAATTGTTTGTGTCTTTGCAGTGTTGTTGTTGTTGTTGCCCCCCCCCCCCCCCCCCCAAAAAAAAACATCAAGGTACTTTTACTTATTCAGTTGTCAGATCCTGTTTGCTGGCTCACTGTCTGCTCTATAAAAGATCGAAACCCCAACTGAAAATGTCCAACATCTACATAATGCACTTGTTCGGTTAACTAGCTGCCACTGATGGACAGATTGACTAACACTGCAGGCCAAAAATCCCTACTCTCTCACTGATTGGCTGCCATTTCTGCAGCTGTTCTCGTTCAGGTCTAATTTAATCATTCTTGATCTACTTTGGAATTTCTACACGAACAGCTGATCAAATAAAATGCAATGATTTCTGATAGATTTGACTAACAAGGTTACTTTTACAGCAAAACATGTCTCTGAATTTGTACTGCTGTTAGATAAACCCATATGTGAGATCTCCCTGGTAACACAAACTGCTGTTGTCTAGCAGTGTCCACTGAGTGTATATTTGCCAAGCTAAGTACTAATTACTGTTTGTAATTAGTACTTGGCTCTTTGTCCTTTGTCTTTGGTCTCCTCTTGTTTTACTGGAGAGCTGTGAGAGACTCTCTCGGGTTATTTTTCGCTCTTATCTTCCAACCTTTTATCGGATTTAGCTGAATTAACACAACAAAGATAGGCAAGTTGATGGATAACCTTGTTTTAATCAAACTGTTATGCCAGTTGTTCTACTGATATCGTTCACGGGATAAGAGTGCAGAAATAGATTAATTTCATAAGCTTTTACTCATTAAGCTAACGCTCTGCTTAAGGGAAACACAGTGGCATGTTGGTTTAAGTGGGGAATTTCTAAACGTTTGAACAATAACAGGTAAAAATCAAGCTTTTTGGACTTACTACAGTCTATTACATGATACTGATACGCAGCACAAAGAC